CATGTGACAGGGTAGTCACTAGCAGATTTCTTGGGGAAGCAGCGGATTTAATAAATGACTCAACAGAGAAGCCTCCATACATTGCTGTACTCTGACCAGCTAACAGAATTAAACATTAAAAATTAAAATTAAAAATTAAACAGGGAGAAATCAGTACAAATGTATTACAACCAATTAAAAAAAAAACCCACAGTTAATCCATTAAGAAAATGAATCTTCTTTTGTAGTGAGGTGGAAGGATTCTACTTACTGCCACTTTTATATTATTTTATTATTTATTCTTTCTTTCTTTTTTTAACCCTTCCTTTCTGTCCAGAGGGCACTTACTCCAGTAGTAACAAAGAAAAAAAGGGGGGGAAATGGATTGTTCTGGCAGAAAAAGCCAAGACTTTACTAGGGAAAACTGATTCTGGAGCATGTAAACATATGATTCACAATTCAGCACAGAATTAAGCATTCCATATTCCATGTGATGAATATATAAAGCCTGTTTTGGACTGTGGCCATGATATCAGAGGGAAGAAACTGAAGGTGAGGCAGAGGACCTACCTTCGACTTAAATGTAGTGTAATTTTTATTAAAATGCAGTGTTGATTCTTTTTTGGGGCAAAGGGTCATCCCACGTCTTACTGCAAGAGTGCTCTCAAAGCTTCCTATTGAACTGAACCAAAGGTGATTTTCCAAAAGGCAACTGAATTTTCTTTGTTTTTTCTTTGAAAAACATTTGACTTCTCATCCAAGGAGCTTCTTCAGTTCTGACTGAATGGTGGGGAATGGAGGGATTTATGTTCCTAGTAGTAGTAAGACTAAAAATCAGGCTTGTCAGATGCTATATGAGAGTTGGTTTCTGACAGAAGGCCACCTGAAGGGACTAGAAGCATTTGAAATGTGGATTTACAGGCGGCTCTTATGTATAAGCTGGGTTGACAAGATCAGAAATGAGGAGGCGATAAGCCGCCTGGGAAAGCCAAGGAAAATCATCAAAACAATTAAAAAACAAAAATTAGAATATTTCGGACATGTGATGCGACACCCAGAAAAATGCGGCATATTCCATTAAATTCTCCAGGGAAAGACTGAAGGCAAACGAGGTCCAGGCAGAAGAAGAACATCATGGCTTCAAAATCTAAGGGACTGGTTTGGACAAAACTCAGCAGCACTTTTTTGTGCGGCTGCTGATAAAAACAGGATCGCCAACGTCCGATAACGGATACGGCACAAGAAGAAGAAGTAATACAGTTGTTAGTACTCTGAAGGTCAATCATTAGCTCTCTGATAATTGTTGAGGGGTTTATTTGTGCTAAGAACCAGATGACCACAAGGAATATAAATCATTCCATTCTCCACCATCCAGTCAGAACTGAAGAAGCTTCTTGGATGAGAAGCGAAATGTCTTCAAAGGAAAAAAAAAACAAGAAAATCCAGTTGCCTTTTGGAAAAGCACCTTTGGGACAACCATGACCTGGATGACTGAAGATCTCCATAGAAATTTTCCTATCGAATTGTGTTGGGCAATCATAAATTATATCTATTTCATCTCATGATTTTTTGTTCTCCAACCCATTGCTTTCTGGTTCCTGATGCTTTCCCTTTTTTGAGCCTAAACAATATAGACTTGCTAGACAAAGATGGGGAGGAATCCGCTAAGGCTTAGAATAGTCCATAACCTTCCCTCAGATGTTAAAGTAAATTGTTATACAAAGTCTAAAAATGTATTTCAGGGTTCTTCAATCTTAGCTCTTTTATGACTTGTGGACTTCAATTCCCAGAATTCCTCAGCCAGGCACACTGGCTGAGGAATTCTGGGAGTTGAAGTCCACAAGTCATGAAAGGGCCAAGTTTGAAGACCCCTGATCTATTTCATAAGCCAAAGCCTGTTTAACCTTGGATAACAAAAGCCATAGTGGTGTAATGGTAAGAATGCAGCATTGCTGGGTAACTCTGCCCACAGCCAGAAGTTTGATTCTGACTGGCTCAAGATTGACTTAAACTTCCATCCTTCTGAGACCAAAATAAGGACCCAGATAGTTGGGGCCAATATGCTGACTCTGTAAACCACTTAGAGAGGGCTCTAAAGCACTATAAAGTGGTATATAAGTCTAAGTGCTATTGCTATTAGCATTAGGACCACTTTTTTTTTCTTCACTAAATTGTCAAAATTTCTGGTGTAATGAAGAGAAAACCATCTATACCGAAAAAAAATCAGATGTGGCAAAGGTGGCTTACAGATCCTGCCAATTTCAAAGACAAGGTTATTGTAAATCTGAATTTCTCATAAACTCTGGCTTGTATAATCCCTGAATTTCCACTTGAATTCAGATGATCCTCCAGCATAAGGTAAATCTGGTACAATAACCTTACAAGTTATCCCATGCCTCCTGCGTGGATTCCCTCAGTAGATCTGAGAGGTAAAGATGTGAGGACAGATAAGAAACATCTAACTCAGGATTTGCAATTTGGGATCGCTTTCAAACAACACTTGAACAAACTTGTGGCAAGAGGGAGTAACTGTAGTAATAAACAAACAGAAAATTAAATGCATAGAGGCAGAATCTATACGAATAAAATTCCTAGCAAACAACCATCAGAAAGGGCTGTTGCTATCCTGGTTGGTGGGCTTTTTCACTGGCCCCTGTTGAAAAAGGGAAACTGGAATAAGAATTGCCTTCATCTGATCAAGTTAGGCTTTTCATCCAGTGCCAGTATGAATATATATACAATACAGGGACAAATGGACAGGAAGAGACTTAGTAAGAAGTCAATCTTTACTGGTTCTTTCCCATTGAACATATGATTGATTAAATAGATTCTGATGAATGGGTAGCATTATCTGACTAACCTTGTAAGGCTCACCATCTAAGTCAGTGGTTCTCAACCTTTTTAATGCCACAACCCCCAACCGGTCGTAAGTCGAGGACTAAACCGGTCGTAAGTCGAAAACTAAACCGGTCGTAAGTCGAGGACTACCCAACCTGTCTTAAGTCAAGGACTTTCCCTGCCCGGGAGTGCCGCGCATGTGTGGTGCCGCCCCCTGCGCCGGCCGAGGCGTAGCTGGCAAGCGGCAGAGATGGAGCAGGCCAACCACCGGCTAGGCCACCAGCTGGTCCAGCCCAAGGGAGGTAAGGCACCCGCCGGAAAAGGGGAAAAAATGGCGGACAGCCTTGCTTGGCGACCCCCGTGAAATGGTCGATCGACCCCAAATGGGGTCGCGACCCATAAGTTGAGAACCGCTGATCTAAGTAGGGACAAGCCTGGTGAGACTTGTTTGAAAGTCAAAAAACATCCCAGCAAGCCACCACAATATTATTGATATGAAATCTGTATTGATGTGGTCAAGGAATCACCAGGAGATGAGTTCAGTTGAGGGAAATTTAATCTTCCCCCTTAATTTCAGTCCCTGCTATTCAGTGACCAGCTATTTGCTTTTCTGACTTGAGAACAAATGGATGAACATCCAATTAAATAATATATATTGAACATATTTGATAATGTTAGGCTGAATACTTGGGCTATTGATATCTCGGTGTTTATGTTCCCTCTTGATTTACACTGCTCCTTCCTTAGGTTGCCTTTAAAGATCCCACAAGGAATTTCTGCCAAGTCATATGAAATCCTGATTCATTTGTGTGGCATAGCTGGCCAGCTGTTTGTGGTGAGGGTATATCATAGTACGTGTCAAAAAGAGCTTGCCATCTGTCATGGAGTTTAGGCCTGTTCTTCGTCCAGCTGCCAAATCTCTTCACCCTGTGCCATGGACCTCCAGATACAAATTAAAATATTCCAACCATTTGTCCATATTTGGCTATTGGAAAGGAGAGGCTCTCCACTGTAGGGCCGTAGCCCACACTGTTGCTACTATTAATGTATTGTGGTCATTTCAATCCAGGATCTCACCACTAAAACTGCTGTTCTCAGAAGCAACTGTTTTACTTCCCTCTTGGACAGTTGTGCAGTGCTAATGATAGCAACCCCAGCCTGTCTCTTGCTTATTATTCTTGCAGTTTTGAGGAAATCTGGATTACTCAATTATCGTCAGCCCAGCTTTTGTTGGCTTTCAAGCATGAATCGCAAGAAAGGGGAAAAGTTCTTCTTGAGAAGAAGAACAAAGTCCAGCTCTTGGAATACTTCAAAAAAGAAGCTTTTCTGAGGATATGGGAGTTTTGCCCTCCCTGTCTTACCCAGGCCAGAATCCCAAATTGCTATTGGCTGGCAAATCTCATCCTCCCAGTCAACAGGCTTCCGTGATCAAAGCTGCTAGGATTAGCCAATTAACAGCTGAGTTTCCATTGTGATGGATCTTTTGCAGTTCTCCGCCAATACTGGAGGTGCTGCATAGCTGGAATCTAGCCAGATCTCCCCTGGAGTCAATTCATGATGGCGACTGGTTTTGAACTCAACAGCAGAGTCATAGCAATATAAATCCAAATTTGGAAAGTAGTTGAACTATAACTCCCAAGTGCTGAGGTGTGTGTGTGTGTGTGTGTGTGTAAAATGACTCAGCGGTTAAAGATGCTCAGATTGTCAGCTGGACATCACCCCAGCGCTGCGCAGCAGGGTGGGCTCCCATATATTTCACCTGCTCCTGTCAATCTAGTATTTTGAAAGCATGCAAATGCAAGTAGATAAATAGGTACCACTTTGGTGGGAAGGTAACAGCATTCCATGGCTCACTTGGCCAAAAAAACAGAGATGGGCACTGTGCCCTTAAGTCAGACATAACTGGACAGGGAAACCTTTACCTTTATGTTGGGAGTTTGGGAGTACTGTTTTAGCATGCTAGGAGTTGGGGAGAACTGAATGTTGGTTTTTATTGCCTTTATGTCCTTATCACTGCTCCTGTGACCCAGCTATGGCTCATTAGATCACTGGCCATATAAGCCTCTTAAATAACTAAACTCTGAAAACTCTGATCGTTCTGGATTCTCGGGACCCATCTACCATCTTCTCTGAGTTCAGTCCAATAATAAATTCCTCTTTCTCTCTTTTGCTCCCTCCCCTAGGAGAGAAACCGTACAAATGTACCTGGGAAGGGTGCACGTGGAAATTTGCTCGCTCAGATGAACTAACAAGGCACTACCGCAAACACACAGGAGTGAAGCCGTTCAAGTGCGCAGACTGTGACCGAAGCTTTTCCCGTTCAGATCACTTGGCATTGCACCGCCGAAGGCACATGTTGGTCTGAAAAAATGCTACCTTCTCTCTCTCTCTCTCTCTCTATATATATATATATATAAATATATATATATATATGAATATATATATATATTCATATATATATATGTGTGTGTGTGTGTGTGAAATTTCAAGAGCTGGGTCTCTTTTAACTACAGTGCATTCAGCAGGACTGAATCCTGTTTTGATGGTGTTAGCACAAAAGGGACAGTCGGTGTTGTCCCAGATTCACAAAGAAGCAGGAACAAGAATGCTACAATCTTCCCTCCCACCCTAAGCAGGGGTCCAGCACAGGCCCAAGGCATCACCTTTTGCTGGGGATAAAAGCCGAAATGCATCAAGATTGGGCATTATTTTCTAACCCGCTGTTGTTTTCAAAGTATTTATGGCTTGGGTTTTTTTCTCTCTCTCTCTTTCAACCATCCCACTTTTTTCTCCTGAAGAATTTCTGCTATTTCGAAGACTGGATGTCATAAACCGTCGAAAAGGACAAGTCCTTGAGAGCTTTCTCTTCGTTTACTGCTGCTTCTTATTTTTTTTATTTTGTTGTTGTTGTTGTTGTTGTCATTATTACTTTTTCCCCCTGTTAAAACACTGCAGAATATCATCCTGCCCAACAATTTCCTAAGCCAGCTGAACAGACTGGAAAGAGAAGGGATTTAAAAAATGAAGCTCCTTTGAAGTGAAAAAAAAAAAAGATTTCTCAGCACACTTATGCAATAAAGATGGTGGTATTTGTACATATTTACCTCTTTCTTGTTATGCTGGACTTTAGAGGCTATTAATTCTTCTAAAACTTCCTAAATCTTTTTTTCTTTTCTGTTTTTTTTTTTCTGGAATCTATAAAACAGGCATCCGTAAAAATTTCTGTATGAAATTACCCATTTTATATCCGTTTGCTTGCTCTATAATAGAAAGAGTTCATTAAAATGGTCTTGGAAAACATAATAGAACCAAAACTGGTCCTACCCTTTCTGAACCAATGTATCAGTGCTCAGCATATTTCCCTGAAAATACCGTATATTCCAGTGTATAAGGCGACCCGGCGTATAAGACGACCCCCGTCTTTGGCGCCGAGTCACATGCCTAGAAAGTCGTCTTATACGCCAGGAACTATCGTTATTTCTGACGTATAAGACGACTCGGCATATAAGATGACCCCCTGACTTCGGCGCTGATTTTAACGCTTGCGAAAGTCGTCTTATATGCCGGAAAGTACGGTAACAGATGTTCAAACGTCCATCTCTTATTCTTGGATTGCTCAGTAGTTCATTCACCACTGCACAGGCGAAGTAACTCCATGGATCAGTCCTATCTATGCATTGGCATGATAAGCCTTCTGTTCTATGGGAGTGGATCCTTGATCGGAAAGAGATGACTCGTCACGGCCAACTCATTATGGGGCAACTCGTTGCGGGACAATTCAACAATTCAATTTAATTATTTAAAACAGTTTTAAAAAATACTTTAATTTTTGCCATTCCCATTTCATTCCATCCCTCCATTTGCATCCTTTAATGATTCTATTCCACTGTTTCTTTGATATTAGTGTAACTCTTGTCCCACGGTGAGTTGGCCATGGAGAATTGTCCTAGGCCAGGGGTAGGCAACCGTGGGTCTTTTATGACTCGTGGACTTCAACTCCCAGAATTCCTGAGCCAACCATGCTGAGGGGAAAGAGAGAGGTTTCCAAGCTGAGCCATGCTGGCTCAGGAATTCTGGGAGTTGAAGTCCACAAGTCATAAAAGAGCCAAGGTTGCCTACTCCTGTCCTAGACCCTCTTTAATGGTTCACTCTCACATGCTCATCCATTAATTGATGCTATAATTTGTACAGTCTCTCTCTCTCTCTCTCTCTCTCTCTCTCTCTCTCTCTCTCTCTCTCTCTCTCTCTCTCTCTCTCTCTCTATTCTCCCATTGAGTTGACCCCTGTGGTAGAATTGTGCTTAGGATTATAGCGCCTAAGTTTTGACATCCCCTGTGACCAAAAGAGAATTTAATGCATCAGAATAAAGAAGAACCCTGAGAAAGAATTTCAAGAGATCTCAAAAGTATTTCCCATTCCAAAATGAAGGTCTGGCAAGAATAATTTAAAATTAACTCACTGGAGTTATGATACGGGGCCAGTGAGACTTAGTCATCATTAATTTCAGTTGGGCTGGGCTGAAGCCAAGGTGGTTAGACAAACAATCACTGTCAGGCATTCCTGAAATAGGTAGGGGGTGATGTGGCCAGTGGTTCCCCATGCATGTCATTTTTAGAGATGGTATAAATGGATTCCAAAGGATTTTAGAAGGAAGTGAAAGAGTGGGCATTCTTCTCCTGAAATCTCCCTAAGAAATGCCAACCATTGCACCTGTTTTGGTCATCCAAGCTAGAAGCGGCTGCTTCCTTGCCCTAGATACAACAGATGAGGCAGACTGACATAAATGAGTAAGCATTTTGGGGGCCACTGTATCTAGGTAACTAATATGAACTGACAGTTCTGGTTTTTCATTGTTAATGAAGATGGTTGACAATCAAGTGGTAACCATCTGTTCATACAATTGGGGTTTTGGAAATAGTGTAGAATAGGGGTCCTCAACCTTGGCAACTTTAAGACTTATGGACTTCAACTCCCAGAATTCCTCAGCCAGCAAAGCTTGAAGTCCACAAGTCTTAAAATTGCCAAGGCTGAAGACCCCTGGTGTAGAAGGAATGGGTGACCAACTCATACATGCACCCACCACAGCTCAAATACATACATGCATATATACACCATCAATCCATAGTCCTTTCATCTGAGCTGCTCACAAGACTTGAGGGCCTCAATTCCCAGAATTCCCTAGCCCAGTGGTTCTCAACCTTTTTAATGCCATGACCCCCAACCGGTCGTAAATCGAGGACTACTCAACTGGTGCAGCACCGTTTGCAGAATGGGACTTTTGGCAGGCTCAGCAGGGCAGAGACAGCCTGGGCAATTCCTATTGGCTTTTGAAAGCCAATAGAATTAGACTCTATTCAAGAGAGTCTATTTTATTGGCTTTCAAAAGCCAATAGAATAAAAGGGAGTAGCACAGCTAAGGAAAAGGGGGAAAAAATGGCGGGCTGCGTTGTTTGGCGACCCCCGTGAAATGGTCGTTCGACCCCAAAATGGCGGGCTGCGTTGTTTGGCGACCCCCGTGAAATGGTCGTTCGACCCCAAATGAGAACCGCTGCCCTAGCCAGTGTGGCCAGCTGAGGAATTCTGGGAGTTGAAACTCACAAGAGTTGTTTTTGTGCCTCCCAAAATCAGTGTTGTCTTGCCTTTGTAGAGCTGAGGTCTTTTGAGCTAATATCTAAAGAGGAAAGGTATGATCCTGTTCCTATGGGAGATTTGCTCACTAGGTACATGGGTTTCTCTTCTCTTTAATGAGAAGAGACTGATGCTGTGGTCCATCAAACATTCCTCTGTGTTTCCTTTCTCCTTTCATAGAAGAGAAATAAGGAAACTCAGCTGCTAAATTTTTATTTAGAGATATTTCGTAAGCATTTAATCAGGAAGCTTTGTTTCAAATCTGCATAGATTAATCTCATCAGGTCACATCTTGGCCCAATCCATTTATCTCATAATTAATAGGAAATGATCTTTCGAGTTGTATTGGTCCTTGAAAAGCAACAGTTGCCCGAACAAGTTAGATAAAAAACATGCATATCAAACAACAGAGTCACAATTTAATTGGGACTTTATAATTCAATAAATAAAATAAAATAAAATAATTAGCTTTCATATTCTCCCTGCTGTGAAGTTGACAATTGACAATTTCTAAAGGAATTAGATGGAAGGATGTGGATTTTTCCCCCACAGTTCATCAGCTACTGGTTTCTGCTCATGCTGGTCCATAGATCTTCCAAACTGGGACATAGTTTAGTTTTAGAGACTAACAACCTCATCATGTCCTACCTCAGCACAGGGAACCTTTGGGAACAGGCTGCTGGGACTGACTAGGTGTTTCTCAACCTTGACAATTTTAAGGCATGTGGACTTCAACTTCCAGAATTCCACAGCCAGCAATGCTGGCTGTGGAATTCTGGGAGTTGAAGTCCACATGCCTTAAAATTGTCAAGGTTGAGAAACACTGCGGTAGGGAGTTGACCTTCATAGGGCTGTTCAGTGCTTCATATTCAGCCTCCAACAGGGTCTTCAGAGAGCACCGTCTGCCCACCTGGAAACACCTGGATCCAGCTGACTCAAGATGTGGCAGGCAGGAGTAACATTCACAACCCCCAAACCTTTTGGGGGGATGGAATCCAAAGCACTGAACAGTTCTGATACTCCTCTTAGATGTCAGAAGAGGGAAATTTCTGGAAATGTACATGTCTAATTCTGAGGGAGGACTGTTGAGTGGGAGCTATTTTGACTAATCAATATTATAAGGATTCTTTCTGATGCCTGTTTTTCTTGTTCATTTGCTGTTGTTCCAATATCCATGGATTTTATTTCATTGCGGATTCAACGTTGAAAGATTTCCTTCGTGCAACCCTTTTAATGCCAGTGTCATCTCCCATATGCCATTTTATTCACTGATCTATTCTGATGGTTCAATCAGTTTCAGTATTGGAAGTTTTCCGTGAACAAAGACAGTGTTATTCTCTTAGGCAGATTAATTAGCAGGCAAGCAAATTGCCTTCACAAAGGAAAGTGTGGAGGTGTTGAGTTTCTTTTGTTAGCACTACTGTTAAAAGTAGCTCACCGTCAGAATAAAATTCCATTAGGAATGACGACATGATGCAACGACATCCCTTCGCTTATCTGTTTGTTAAAACAGAAAGGGGGAAGTCTCTTTTCTCTGTTATGCTGCAGATGGTTACATTGCTTCAAAGGGAATTAAAAACCATGTTGTAAAACCTCACGCAAAACTTTACAGGTATAAATTGGGTGATTTGGTTCAGAATTTGCAATTTTCAGAAATGTTCCTGTATATGAATACATTCTCCTGTTCAGAAATTGCAGCTATTAAACCCCACTGTTGTTGTTGTTTTAATGTACAGATTTAAAAAATAAATTATGATGGAATGCTAGCACATGGAACCCCACAAACCAAAATGTTTGTGCGGTTGTTTCAAGGCATATGGAAGGAGTATTCAAGGTTTGTTCTCCTTCGTCATGTTGGGCCAGAAAAAAATTCACCATGCCTGTCCGTTGACTCTGGGGAAAATTGATACATTCCAGAGCATCATGGCACATGGTCAATATCTCTGGTGTGCAGAGGAAGATTGAATGTCCTACTGTTTGCTAAGCATACTGGAGATTCAATTTATAGGTCCGTGAATGCACCCTGAGACACCCCATCATTACTGGACAAATGTTCACCATAGAGACGCAATTTCCCAAGCAAACAGAAACCAACTTACCCAATTATCTTCCAGTGGGGGCCCAGGCAAGGAAGGTCAGACTGATGAAAGCAGATTTTATTGCATCATAATATAAACTCACCCCCCCCCTTTCCTGCATCAACAGTGGCCTGTCCAAAGTGGGAGGAGTCTCTGCTGATGAGAGGAGTGAGATCTTACCGGTGCCGCTCTGAAGTTGCAAACTTAAGTTGGTCCCAACGCAATGGGGCATTGCATTCTTGAGCTCATTACCTCGTTTGATCCCCTTATTTAAAAAGTATCAAGCACTTTGCAAATGGCCCGTCGCAATTTCAGAGTTAAGAAGCAGTGTTCATGCATTGTGTTTACTTGAATGAAATAATCAAATTAATCTGATATCAAGGGCTCGT